AATGTTGTTTGTTTTGCATACATTAAATTACTAAACATTACATACATAACAAGCTTTTATTTTCAGGCTTATGTATTTACAACTAAACCATCTTTAGTAATTGTGCTATTTGCAATTTGATATTCATAAGATAAATATCATTCTTCTAGCAAAGATAGTTAGTTTAGTTTAAAAATTGGTTTTGCAATTTTTCCATTCAAATTACTGTATATCTAAATAGTTTGGAAACCACTTAACAGAACTCGGGAATGGCAATAGGTCGTTTTTGTACCATTAAAAGAGTAACAGAATTTTGAAATAGTTTTTTTTTTCAACCCATAGTACGGTTTATATATTGATAACAATTAGTATAGCTAATTTCATTGAAGTCATAGGCTTATAGTGTCTTGTAATATAACGGTTTGTATGCAACTATAATATCATGCATCATAAAAGCTATCAGATGTATGTAAAAATGTTGTTTTACAATTTTGGATTTTGCAATGGTTCAAGTACGAAGATATATATTACTGTAAAATATCCTCATTATTTTTTTTAAGTTGGCTAAAAAAATACACCAAAATACCACCAACAGTACCAGCTCAGACGCAGCAGTAAAGATGGTCGTTGTTCAGGATAACTTTATAGCCAGGGTATGTTATGGCTCTCTCCCAAGATGTTCGGTACCACGAGTGACTATAAGGAAAGATAGATAAGGGATTATGCATGTAAACAATTCCTTAAGAACATATCAACCATATATTCGTTGAATAACTCAAAAATCCACATTTACTAAATATGAAAGAGATTTGATAATTTAAAGGGTTCGGAGGTAGCTGCTCACCATGAATATGCAACTAAAAACTACCCTTGTACAAGCAGTAAATACAAAGGAATAATAGCCCTACTTTCCATTCAAACAACCAACGTGACCTGCTTACTTAGTATAAAGGTTTACGTACCTCTGCATTTTGGCATAGTTATACTGATAAATACTGAACTAACACGATTCATCTTAATAAAGGAAACATGGTGAACAATATAAGTATATACTGATACTTATTTGTTTATACACTTTTATTACATACTCTTCATATTTATATACTGATAAAGTTAAGGGTGTGAATTGTCCAAAGTCCTTAAAAAAATGGTACCCATTTTTATTTTTAGTAATATTCATTGATCTCCCAATAGCAATCATGAATGTAATAGCATATTTCACTTCTAGTCTCAAAATTGACACTTTTCAGTGCAATATAGTGGTTTGCGAGTGAAGTGAAGCCGATCACGGAATACAACTATCGAGACTCAAAATGAAACTTTTGAGGCGAGTAGTGAACAATACTTTTCATCATTATGCAAATAGTCACCCAAAGCTTTTTGTTTTTATTTAATGAAAAATTGTCTATTGTTTTTAATAATTTCTATATTATAGTTTAACAATTTATTTAAATTTGATCTGGAAGACATTTTCTTTGATAAAAGAACACATACCCTAGTGCTCTTTTTGCACCCTGTTTTTCTCAGCTTCTGTGCATCGCAGGGAAAATCGATGTATACTTAGAAAGATGCCTGTTAAGGTGCAGAATCCCTTCATAAATTAAAATCGGCTCAAAAATAAGCACATATTAAAATGAATTTAAAATTTAAAACAAACTAACATGGACCTTAAAGGTTTCAATGTTGTTGACGAAATAACAACTCAATTTAAACGGAAAATCAAAACAAATGGAAGAAATTTCAATCACGTGTTTTATTTAAAGCTTGGGGTGAAAATAGAGAAGTTTGCACAATACATACTTTTGGTCAAGTTTTAGGTTATGGGGTGAGCTCTAGTTTTATGGTTTTAATTTATTTCTTCCGGTGACACTAATTTGGTTCAAAAGATTCTATTGTTGCAATAAACACGAATCTATAACTTATTTTAGAAATGTGGAAGCTTATTTAGTTTTCATAGACTAATTGTACTTAACCTTACAAACGAAACACAACTGGAAGATTGAAAAAGGTGTAGCAAACGGCAGCTACTGTTTATTTTTAGAGAATTCTGGGCAACGTTATCACATTTTCTGAGAAACCAATATCGTGGTATGTGGTAGTATGTGAGGAAAATCCTACCGTTCTGAAGATTGAAACATGATTTGGGAATATTGCTTGTTTGTAAACATTAAAGGTTGCAGAAAAAGCGTTCAGTGTTTGTTTCTTGTCTGAGGTGTTTTATATTAATATAAATCACCAGTAACATTTACGTTTACTCGTACGAAGTACAAAAACTGTCGTAGCTTTCATACTACGTTCTTCCCAATGACAATTTTATGGTGCAGAACACTGCTCTAACATTATGTAATGATACAGTGTTTAAATTAAGTCTTGAAACAAATCTGTATTTTTAAAACCGAAATATATATAAATATTCTGTTTGTGGCAATAATTGTTAACAAAGGTTTCGCAAATTTTAAATATTTAAACCCCTTAACAGGGTAGGGAATAGGGGGTGACTCATATTTTTCTCAAAATTGCGGAACCTATGTTAACAATCAATTCCTCAAACAGAATATATCTATCTATTTATGTTTTAAAAATACAGATTTCTTTCATATTTGTAAAATTGGTGCTTTTCACATAGGTACAGTAAATCGAATTTTGGACTATCTGCCATTTAGCCGTGGGGTGAGATATACACCTCGGGTTTGCGTCATTGTGTTTCTTTTGACGAATCCTTCAAAACGAGGGATATATCAATAGAAGTTGCTATTTGAAAAAAATAAGTCACCCCTACCCCTACCCTGTTAGGAGGATAAAAAAATATTTTTGATTTAGAAATTACGGAACTTTTGTGCAATCAATGACACAAACAGTTCTATCTATTTTGGTTTAAAAAATACAATATTGTTTCAAGACTTAATTTACAGACTATATAAGGGATAGTTATCAATCAAATCCGTGGTGATTCAAAAGAAAAAAAAAACACGTATTATTTAGTTTATCCTTTTATACATAAAACCATAGCACTGCTACGCTTCAGTAAAAAATATCATGCTAAAGAATTGTATAACACTTTGACTATTGTAATTTTTTTTCCTAAGCCAATAGAACCCTAACCTATGATAGCTCAACGCCAGTGTCATTAGGAGTTTTGTGCAACAGTATTCTTAAGGTATAAAGGGTTCTTATTTCGGATACTAACTGAAATTGGTTTTATATGTTTCTAGCACTCTCTAGATTTTGGATCGTTCATTTTTCTTTTATTATTTTCGACGTTTTACAATATGTTTAAATAATCATGTTTCAAAAATTCACTCAAACAAATTGACAGTACCATACACACTATGTGACATGTAATTCAGTTGGATGTAGACACGTTTGGAGGTATGTTAGCCCATTAAATCGTGAAAGAAATAGTATTTTTTCAAATGATATTGGTAAATTTATCATTCGGTCATTTCTGTATTACACACTTGCCAAACGCTTACTTTAAAAAAAAAAAAAAAAAAAATCAAACTGCAAGAGGTTAAAAATGGAGAAATCTTACACATTAAGCAACCAAAATTAAACTCACTATCTTGAAAATAGTTTGGACACTGAAGTTATTTAACACATTTATTCTGTTTAAACACTACAAAATACTCGAGTTTAAGATATCATATTTACGTTTCATTTAATATGCTTCGTATAGTTTTAATCTTCAATAACCCGGAAAGAAATAGCGTTAACTTCATAAATCTCAAATTGAAGGAGTTCTCATTGAGGGCCGCTGTGTGAACGCCAATTACTGACGGGATAACTGAAGCGTGGAACGTTTATTCAGGTGGCTTAAATATCCCGCGAGGGCGCAAAACCCTCAGATGAGTTTCCTTCTAAATTATTGGCTTTTTATATCAACTAGGTTTTAATTTACAGATGTTTTAGTTAGCATACATAAGATTATAATCGAAACACTTGAAATGGATGGTATGACAAACTTCGCATATAAAAAAAAATTATTGTTAGTTTATTTACCAATAAATGCTAGTGAATTGTTGTGATATAAAATAAAACATGAACATGCTGAACGGCATTATTTTATAAATCTGTGATACTATTCCTCAATTAGTAGAAAACATGAAAAAAATATCTAAAGACAATCTCTCAACAAATCAAAAATAATATGCTTTGATTTTTTAAGGAAGCAAAATATTTCGATATCATTATTTTTTTAAGAAGTGTAACAAAGACAACGTTCAACTATACTAGGTTAGCATAATACTTATATAATTTCTTATTTTACTAGTATAGAGAAAATAATGACGTTATTTGGCAATATTTACGAAACTTGCATAAACATTGCATGCTAACACGTAAAAGTTGTAAAGTATAAAAAAATAAATATGCTTTTGCATTTAACAACTTTGAACAACCAAATATTTTATGACAACAAATAATAGCTTTAAATTTGAGGACAACCCAAAGTATGTTACTTTAACGCACATAGCCAGGACATAAAATCATGTAATGCAGCATTTACTGTTAACTGTGGATAAAGAAATGTTTTGACTTGATATAATGACAATTTTGCTTTTCTGCAACGTAAAAGGCTGCACAACACTTCACGTTCTAGAGATTACTTTCAACGTCTAGAACTGTAAAAGTCAGTTTAATAGCTCCACGTTTGTAGTCGTAAATTTTAGTCAAGGGTTTCGTTTAATGTTTTATACCAATGCTGTTAGATAACTTTAGATTTTGAAAGAATTTAACATACGATTTACTAATTTTTAATGTTTATTTTGTTATTTGCATTTAACTTTGATAAGCCTATTTTAATTGAAAATGTGTAAAAAAATAATCGTTTATAACATCGCTTCAGTTTTTAATGTCAACAGCCTGTTCAACCAGTTATACTAACCATTAAAAACTTACATCTGTATACAATATATCTCGCATTAGTGTGGGGTAGTGTATAACAGTACAATAATCTGAAACTAATATTTCATAAATATTTTGTATGTATTTTCTACATTAATCTATTTAATTTGGTTTCTTACCTATCTCGATGTCTGTGATCGCAGAACCTAGGTCCAGGTCCAGGACAAAACCAAGGACCAGGATAAGGATGAAGGACCCACTGGAGTAGGTCATGTAGCCAATACGTCGTCACTATCCACCACGATATACACAAGTAACCCACCACATCGCTGTCACCACCACCACAGACAGGCACGAAACCACGCTGCTACACTAGTGATAGACTTCGTTTGTATAGGTGTTAAACATTGTTGTTAAATGAAGTGTCACTGGAGTTTTCGAATATTCGGTCAAGTGATTGGTTGGAAATTAATCATTTAAGATATTATAACTGTGTATAACAGTAGTTATTTTATTGATTTAGCACGCAAAAGATACACGAAACATGTTACATTCTGATACTTTAACATTGTAATCGTAAAAATATAATAAATAAAACATAAATATGATGCTTTAATTTAAAATTCCCCGAGCAAGTAAAATATCACCTAATCATTTCAAATGGGTTTGTCACATGTTCTCCGGCTATGATACAATAAACACAAACTAACATTAATTAACACGTGAATAGCGTGAGAAGCGACCACCGCACGACCACGGGCGCGACTGGAGAGCTACAGTGGCTGGACCCTAGTGCCGAGAGTTGCCGAACATTGACGTATCTTGCCGAACACCTCCGCCCCCTACCAACGATCAGGTCGGGAAAGTGTAACGCTATAAATCGAGGGGGTAAAAACTTGGTCATGTCTCCTAAACTCTCCAAGACAACATTTACCCCCGCCTTCAAAGATAAATTCCCCTCTCTGCTAAAAAAGAAGAGCCGAATGATATAAATTTCTGTCTCTTTCGAAGCGACAAAGAAAATATTAACTTTCTATTGTATTTTCCGTAATAAAGAGTCTCTCTGAAAAACTTTAACATTTAAAAAAGTTGAGTTTGTTAGAGCTGATTGATTATTTGAGTTGATTTAATGAATTGGAAATTTCCAACAGCTCAGTGGTGTGTGAGTAAACGTTTTTCAGTTTATTCAAACTAACTGAGCGTACTTGCATTTACTGTTGCTTAAAATAAACTAGCAAAGGTAGACTACGAATTAATATTTTTTTTTCTCAAGATACACGGTTAAATATCTTCATAATTTTTTTGAAACCCCGCACAAACTGAATTTGACTTCGTTGAAATTTCATCATTTAACAAACCACATAATCTTTAAAACAGTAATGTATGGTAACAAAAAAGAACCACCAAGTCAATGTAAAGGAATTCTAAGTTTTTTTGTTGTTGTTGTTCAAATAGGTTATTATTGTTGTTTTTATTTCAAATAATACAAGACATATTTTTTCGATTGTAATTTATATTTATAAACAATATACAATTTTAATTTACAATTCTTTGACACGTTACTTTTAGTTAAGTAAATAGTTTGTTAATATTGTATAATCATTAATGTTAGATACTCAGTTTTTAGACTTATTAAAATATATTACGATATCAACATTTTAGGTTGAAAAATACTTATTTTATAACATAATATTCTTGCTAGCCTTAAATTTAAATCATCATAAAATGTATTCTGTTAACTCTATAGATTTTACAATTTTTAATTAACAAATTTAATCAAATGCTGTACCTATAGCCATAATTTTCGTTTAAATAGTCTGTAAATACTCATGACATATTTCCACAACTACACCTGTTTTCTGACTTAAAATTCCTAAATAATTGTATGTTGCATTTTAGAGTTTTAAATTTCATAAACAAACTACTAAGAGAAACTATAATGTGAATGATGAAACCTATGATGAATGTATTGCCTAAATATAATACATTTCAAGCAACTTATTGCATTCAAAACATCACATGACAGATTCTGCGAAAACCAAGAAACGTATTTAACGCAGCGATTGTAAAATCGTTTACCTAGTAGTTCAAGTCAATTGACGAATGTGTTCATTATAAAGCATTTAGATATTTATAAATATTATTATTTGGATATCAAAAGACTTTCTGAGCGACAAGAACTTGGCTTCGTTGTTTAGTGGTCTTCCTTTGTTCAACATCACCTGTGCAGTGAAAATCCTGTATTTGTTACGCTGACAACTTTGTGTTGTTACTTTGTCAGTTGTAAACTGTGGTTGGTGTTTGAGTGAGCTTGTCTGACATATTGTTTGTGATTTTCTTTACTAAACTTGTCGAGATATTTTATAAGTAATACAAAATAAACAACTTGTTTTAGTTTATATTAGCTCAAAGTTATGCTACCCACTTTACTAATATATTCAAAGGAAAAGAATACTTTAAGATTAAAACCTAATTCTCGAAATCCGGACCAGAGCCATTTAAAGAGTTACTTTTTCTTGCATAATTTTCTGTTAGGTTATGTAAGTCATTACGTAAGGAAAATTAAATAATCATTGCGTTGTTAAGTTGTTGATACTTCCAGGAGTAAATTGGAAAGATTGTATAGCTTGGATAACTGTATAGCTTGGATAACTGGATAGCTTCGATAACTGTATAGCTTGGATAAATGGATAGCTTGGATAACTGGATAGCTTGGATAGCTATATAGCTTGGATAACTGGATAGCCTGGATAACTGGATAGCTTAGATAACTGTATAGCTTGGATAAATGGATAGCTTGTGATAACTGGATAGCTTGGTTAACTGTATAGCTTGGATAACTGGATACCTTGGATAACTAGATAGCTTTGATAACTGGATAGCCTCGAAAACTGGATAGCTTAGATAACTGTATAGCTTGGATAAATGGATGGCTTGGATAACTGTATAGCTTGGATAAATGGATAGCTTGGATAACTGGATAGCTTGGATAGCTATATAGCTTGGATAACTGGATAGCCTGGATAACTGGATAGCCTGGATAACTGGATAGCTAAGATTACTGGATAGCTTGGATAACTGGATAGCTTGGATAACTAGATAGCTTGGTAGCTTGGAACAATGCATATAACACTTCGTATTATATTAACGTTATGTGTGGTCCCCTTTCAATATTTAAACAAAATGCATTTGCGCAGCAGTGACCTATCTTCAATTACATGGAAACATACTAACTTCGCACAGATGTCTAGTTTTTTTTTTATAATAAAATGGCAATTAACCACGAAAATCTAGACTTTTATTTTATATACCTTACAAAATTGCCTGTGGGGTCTCTTTGGAAGTACGTCTTTGTATTTGTTTTACAATGCATTAGTATGATTTTTTAATAAAGTACGTAAAACCTAGCCGGTTACAGATCACCAAAGACCGTAATGGAGTTGAACCCTCGAGCATATTACTTAAAATAATGGTTAACAGTTAAATATTTGCTGTTTTTTTCTGCATGTCAATAAAGTTAAAACCTACTTTACAGAAAGTTCCTTAAATATGTATGCGTTAAACTCTTCTACTATGTATAGAAGTAGACATCCCATTTTCATGGTAAAACTTCTGACCTCAATGATAATGCATTAAGATGAATGGATGATTTCACTGACACCCACTAACATTTTTGCCAAATGAGCAAACTGTTTGACCAAGACAAGCTTGGGGACACCGATTTCTGTCCGAAATGATCACTTTTTTCACTTAGTGAAACTAATAGGGTGACCTTTTTAAGCTAATGCGCCATTTTACTAATTTGGTTACATACAAATAAAGTAGGGAATATTATCAAAGACACTCATGTGAATTAGCTATTTCAACTGTATTATTTTTTTTACAATTGAGGCAGTTGTTTCATATTGATGAGATGTCAATTTTACTATAATAATAAACAGTTAAACGTAAATAAACCGCTTTAAAAGTGCTGATTGAAAAACCTTGATTTCTTTTATAAATCTTTATGTATAGTTATAAAGCATTTCTACCTAAAATGAAATAAGATTTGTCGATGCATTTTTACTTAACAATGTTTTAATGTATTTGTAAAACTGCTTGCACTAGGTGAACTAGGTTAACAAGCCGATTGGATAGATTTACTAAAGAAACAAATCCACCATTTATTTCATGGCATTTAAAGTCGCACGAACGAATGTATTCAATTTCTGCGACGGAAAAGTAAAACCAGTGTCATACAATGCGAAATCACAATAAAAGTTGTTCTCCAAGCCCGTGAACCGCTGGAGGCAACACAACGTTGCGTGGCCCAATACCGCGTCTGTATTCCTTTTGATATGAAAACAAAATCTGGCGTCTGTTGTTGCCAGCTGCTGACATTTGCATGTGTTGACGGATGAATAGAATCGTGAACAACAATTCGAATGCATACGGGTTGCGTAGTCATGTGTAAAATATGTGTTGTTGGATTGCGACATAAAACTAATATATTTTTTCTTTTAGAGTTTATAAAAAGTCTTTTAGCCCCCATACAAGATAACAGTTTTTTTTTTTTTTTTACTAAAAGTCATTTTGGGGGGTAATAGAGTATCCTTGGAGGTTTTAAAAAACGAATCCCTGCTTTCTCGTTTTGTACACTTAATTATATTAATCGACTGGTATAAAATAAGTATGTTTTCTAGAATTGTGTAGTTATTATTTTTGAATAACTTGTTCTATTTTGTCTTTTACTGACACTGATATATTGAATAGGAGTTGAGACACATATTATATTATAAAATAATAAGAAATAATGTAATAAGGAATAATCATTTAGAAAGGAGGTGAATAGAATCTGTTAAATCATTTAAATATATCTTAAATTATGGAGGATTGATCGGTTGCCTATTATGAGTTATAGATTACGACCATTAATTTCAATTCTCTTGAAATTAATTTAATGGACTTACATGTCTAAAGCAATAAAAAAAACCATTACCCTACAATTATTTTATTTAATGTTACTTTTAAGTATTTACAATTTTGTTTTATAAAGAAGTACAAATCAGTAAGTAAGAATCGTAAAAACCTTATTTTTATTTAATTCCTAACCTCATTCCCAAACACTAGTTATGATAAAACATCAGATTTTCCATCAGAAATGTTTATTAGTAGAGTTTTATAATTTTGATAAACATGTGCATGACTCACAGTGTCAGTCATGACTTGTCTTCTACCGGCACCGGATCGCGTGTGTAATGTTTTTAATGTATTGGCCAAGTTCATAAATATGTTTTCGTACCAATCGTGTGTTATGTGTTTTTCGGTGTGTTTTCAAAAAAAATTGACGACCTTCACGTGAGTAAAATGTTTAAACTTTTTGACCTTCACCTCAAGAAGTGCTCCACGAGCACGAAACTGCAGTAGTGACACACTACGCAAGGACCATATTGACTGAGGTAAATTAAACCATTATTATTATAACTATCATTTACATACAGTTAGTTTGTCAACCGACGCTAGAGAAGAGACAACTCATTAAATCAGTGTTCTGTGCAAAGAGATGTTTTGCAAACAGTCCAATTACCGAGAGTTTATATCTAACGTCTAGTTTGCTGACAATATATATCTCCTGTATCAACAAGATGATACTTGACACGGGCAGACAGACTGCTAATTACTTGACACTCAGTCTCACAGCTCCAAGCAGTTCTCTCATTAAGTCCTTAAACAAACAACTCGTTTTATTTAATAGTAAAACAGACTATTACCTTTGGTCCAGTGTACACTTACTGCAAATAAAAAAAATATGTTGTATACAAAATATCACTCAAATCGCTTTTATG